ACATTAATTAGTTAAATATTCATATTACCCATTTGTAACATAGCATAGATAGTCTCAGATTTCATACCACCTACTTAATTTTAGCGTCCTTTATAGAATCATTTGTATACACCCGTCGAAGGCTATAGACTGATAGCCGAAAGCTTGTGGAAATAAATATTAAGTCAGAGAACGCTCAATAAATAATGTTTCAACCTGGCTACGCATCTTCTATTTTTTCAATTTAAACCTTTTATTTCGTGTTGATCGAAAGCAGATTATTGTGTTTTAGCCCAACGTCTAATACTATTTAGGCTGTTTATCTATCAGTAAAATATCTGGGGAAATTTTTGTTAGTGGAAAACAAAGCCAAAGTGCCGGCACTATAGACTGCACACAACATCTAAACTAAAGAATAAATTTGCAATTTTTAGAAATTTTAAATGGCACATATTAAAGTATTTCACTCTTTGAATGACACATAACGTGCCATTCAAAGTCGGCCTGTTTTCCACTAGGCAAGCTATATTTGTTCGCGTGAAGAGAGGTGGGAAAGAAGACTGCTGCTGCGAGGAAGACTACAATGTGATTGACAAAATATGTCGCTAAAAAGTGACAACCGATCCTACTTTTTCGCGGCGAATATTTTCAAGTTCGAATATTTTCCTTTGCCGGTCAATGACGTTGCCAGAATTTGTTTGTCGCTTCGCGCTAACAAACACTGCGGAACTATGAAATTAAAATAAATATTTCTCGTTTAAAATTTTTATTTTTAATTTTATAAATGCAACTACACAAAGCGACAGGATGTATATATTGATGGTACTAATTAGAATTATAATGTGCGTGTAAATAGACGCTTAGCAGCCTGGTACCCAGGCGCAAATAACGTACTAAAAATAGCAACACTACAGTGTTTTATATAGATCAGTGGCTAAGATGAGCAAGCGCGGCACCCACGGCACCCCGCGCGCTCGCTCATCTTAGCCACTGATCTATATAAAACACTGTAGTGTAGCTATTTTTTAATGGTTATTTGCGCCTGGGTACGAGGCTGGACGCTAAGCTTGAATAAAAAATGCTGTAGTCTACGTCACTGTAAAAAAAAACCACGCTGAATCAGGATTTTAGTTATATAGCAGACAAATTGTTATAAAATTGATATGTCATGCGTTAAGTCTCAAGTGTTGTGTCACTTTGTCGCAAATCCCAATCATGCATACAATTCGTTAACAGAACTCAGAAATACTATTTATCTCGTAGGTTTTCAAGATGCCAAATTGTGTCGATTATATCTACTAAGAAAGAGCTTCATATACTTCAGTAGCCATAAACTATATAAACTCGTTTCTGTCGATATTAATCAACAGTGGTCACGGGGGTCAGTCCTGCATTTCTAACAAGGGGGAGTGGGCTCACTGTAATCACTGGTGTATGAGTTGAAATAGCTTAATGCGTGGGAGGTTATAGCTAATGGTGAAAATAATCATACAAAAAACTCAGTTTCTAGACCTCAGATTCCTGCCAATCAGGTATTTTTCAGGATCTGTCATTCCTTTTCACCAAGGTCAAGACCGAACCATGCAGAGTTAAACTGAAGAAACCACAAACAACAGACTGTTTGGATTAATTTCGTTATAGAGCCGTCAAACTTGAATAAATAATAAGTTAATTTATGCTATGCAGTCATTTTAATTTTGGGTGTTGTTTCACTTTGTCGCAAATTCCAATTACACAATTAGTCGACAGAACTCTGAAATATTTTATATCTGGTAGTAATATGTAGCATTATAGCGGGCTTCAAGATGCCGTAAATTGTGTGAAAGCATGTAACAAGAAATTACAACTTTATTACCTGTGCATGACGATGCTTAGAATCTCCGAATAGAAGCATTTTGTGCACTCAAGATTCGTATAACCAACAGAAGACACGAGAAACGGTAATATTTCTGTTTTATTTGTAAATTTTATGAAACCTATAAGTACAATTACAAAATGAACTGGTATTTATGAGCGATCCATGCAGGAGCGATGAACGGTTGTTGTAACATAATGTGAGGTGGTAGCAAACTGTTATATGGAGAAAGAATTAGATCAATGCTCGCTGTTCACTAGTTAGACCTGCAGTTTAGCGGGGGGCTTTCAGTTGAATTGGATATGGATTTCTGTATGTGACTGTGAAAATATAGGTGCATGTGGCAGTATTTGAAGAATAAATAATTATATTGAAATTTGTGTTATAATGTTGTTATAGTTACAGTGATAATATCGCCTGTGTCTTCGCGATCTTTATTATTGTGAAAGAGGTGTCGTGTTGTGCATGTTCGCCATTAGTTATAGATGATTTTCAATAATGCACCTTCGTAGCGATTTGACTATTTAGAAAGTCTTATCTAACAACGCTTTGTCGCTTGTGAAATTTTAGTTTCTTCATATAAATGCCGACTATATACAGTTTACACGGAATTTGAATGGCGACGTGGAATCTTTCCCATGCACGACAATTGGAATTTCTATGGAAAAGTTAAATTATGACCATGCATGTTGTTGTTATCCATTTGATCCTAATGACCAAATCGTATTGAAAATACAAATGGCATACAGTTCTAGCCTACATCATAGGCTCTAGAGTTTATGGCGTAGGCTAATACAGTTAACATGCAGTTCTCAAACTCCAAGGTTCAAAACTAGAAAACATGTTGTTTATAGTAGGTATAATATATCTTAACTCTTTTCTGTCTGTATTGATCATATGACTGAACAATGGTTAGGGACGTTGTCCAACATGCAGTTCTTACAAGAAGGAAAGGCCTCACTGCCACTGGTAGTAATTAAAATAACTTGGGCGCGTGGGAGGTTATAGCCATAATGGTGAAAATATTCGTACAGCGAGCTACATTTCTGAGCCTCGCGGATTCCTGTAAATCCCCAGTGTCTTTTTGTCTGCCATTCTTTTTCGCGACTATTGCGACCAAACAGATGAAAACCAGCCATAAACTTTAAAGACAGCAAACAACAGGCGTTACAGGCCGTTTGGATTTTAATCCTGTATATAGCTATCAAACTGTTTTATAAAATTTTACTATGTCACCTGCGATGCAGTCTGATTGAAATTTTGAGTGTTTCACTTTGTCACAAATTCCAGTAATACATTGATACGTAACAAAACTCAGAAATAATATTTATGTATTTTACTTATATTCAGTAAAATTTTCCTGGGGTGTGCACAGGGTTTGTGTGCACACCACCCACATCACCCTCCCTTCCCCCAGGAAAATTTTACTCACTGATAAATCCGTATTCGTTATGGAATGTGCAGCCATATAATCCATAAAATTAGGTATGCTGTCCGGTCATCCAAATGGTTACTGATTATTTCACTTTGTAACCAGTCTCCCTAGCTGCTGTCATTAAAATTTTGAGTGTTGTTTTATAAATTCCAATCATAGGGTTAGTCTTGAGTCAACAGAACTTAGAGTTAGAAATATTATTTATCTTGTAGGTTTTCACGACACAAAATTGTGTCGGCTATCTGCCACAAAGAGCTTCAATATACCTATCGTGTTATCAATCTCCATACAATGGTGGTATAGGAGTTGTAGTCTTTCAATTCTAACAAATGGAACTATTTGACAAGTAGAAATTAAAGTAACCCTCCAGTGCGTGAGAGATGAGCTGGTAATGAAAATAATAATACAAAAAACTAAATTTCTGAGTCTCTGATTCATGTACAAATCAGGTAGGCTATCTTTCCTATCAGTGCTTTTTCTTTTCACCACTATCGCGACCACGTTTAAACTGTGAAAACCACGTTTAAACTGTGCCAGGAATAACTATGGTGTTGCTTAATAACTATAAACTTTCTTAGCTCCCTTTTTTTTTGTCATGATCATGTTTGTCAACAATGATCCAGGGGGTGTAGTCCTGCAGGTCCTCAGGGATGCGACTGGTAAAAATTATGATTTTTTTTCTGTGTTGGCGTTGTGTACTCAGGTGAATATGATGTTTGTGATGTTACTCTGAGTGTATATCCACACCATGCATATAGGAGATGAGCTCGTGGTAAATAAATATATTTCTAAAGCTACAACAATCTAGCATATATATAATATTTTATATATTCAAGTCGCCACACAATAACAACATTTATAAGAAACAAAACGCAAGCTAATTCATTCTTTGTCACGTATTCGTTCACATATATTTTATGTCGCATTTTCATGGAATCATGGACATATATTTTTGCATCCCATAACAAAACTATATGTTAGTTGCGGCGTTGCACTTATAAAGCCATGCAAGAACTAGGTCTAGGAACACCCATTGCATCGATGCGAATGAAAAAATGTCGTACGACTGCACGCCTTATTTATCTTATAGGTTTTCAAGATGCAAAATTGTATGGACTATCTACCTCGAAAGAGCTTCAATACTTACGGTTTTGTTCTTCTCACGTTATTCGGGTTGTTTGCTGTCGTAGTTATAAGCATCTCGGGTTCTTTAGCCTTCGACACATCATTTCATTGTTATGACAAGACCATTTCAAAGACGAAGGAGGCATCTCTAATAAAGAACATCAACATAAAATGTTCCCTCGAGTATCAAGAGAAATTCCTCTTTATCCTACCTATGTATGCTATGTTTATCTTAAACTTTAGCATCGTCTTTGCTTTGAGTATTATCTATGCATACTTGGTGAAACATCGTGTTGAGAAATTTGATTATCCGACCAGAACGACAACTTCCAATAATGACGGCGATGAAAATCAAGAGATGCTGCCTTCACCAAATCCCGGCCAGAACCCGCGTGATGTTCGTGAATGTTTGGGTCGTTTTTCAACATTTTCCATTTATGTCGTTCATTTGCTAGTCGCTCGTATAATTCCATTGTTGGTATTTACTATATGGATATTTTACCCAGCTCATTTTCCTAAGAATTTCGCCTGTCC